CAGCAGGTCCTTCAGCGCTTCGGCTTCCAGTTCTCCTCACCACAGGCCACACCTCTGGCTACCAGCCACTCGCTCTCAGCTCCACCTTCGGACGAGTCCGTAGAGCCGAGTGGCCCGTACCCAGAGCTTGTGGGCTGCCTCATGTACCTGATGACTTGCACGCGACCTGACCTCGCGTACCCTCTTAGCATCCTTGCTCGTTACGTTGCGCCTGGGAGACACAGGCGAGAGCACTGGGAGGCTGCTAAGAGGGTGCTGCGTTACCTGTGCAGTACATCAGGCATGGGGCTGGTGCTTGGAGGACGCGACAGAGTTGTCCTCACTGGTCACTCGGACGCCTCTTGGGTGGACGACCTGGCTACGCAGCGGTCGTCACAGGGTTACACCTTCAGCCTTGGCTCAGGTTCTGTCTCGTGGCGGTCCACCCGCTCTTCCTCTGTTCTCGGCTCTAGTTGTGAGGCTGAGATCTACGCCACAGCCATGGCTGCACAGGAGTTACGCTGGCTCACCTACCTGCTGACTGACTTGGGAGAGCGGCCTAGTTCTCCTCCAGTTCTGTACGGTGACAACAAGGCGGCTCTTGCCTTGTGTCAGGAGCACAGACTGGAGCACAGGACGAAGCACATTGCTCTTCGCTACTTTCTTGCTCGAGAGCTTCAGCAGCGCGGTCAGCTTCGGCTTGTGTACGTGGACTCGAAGGCCAACACTGCTGATATCTTCACCAAGGCGCTCCCGCCTAGTGATCATCAGCGGCACTGTACTTCTTTAGGCCTTGTGTCCACGTTTCCTCACTTGCTCACTGCTTGACATTCTTTGTACTGTACTTTATATATATCTTGTTGCTTGCTTGCTAGGTTTTGATCACTGTGTTGCTTGTCTTGTACTATATCTAGCACTGCATGTGAACTGGCCTTGTGGCCTTTACTTGTGCTCGGAGTGTGGTGACGTTGTGATCCACCCTGGGCTTTGCTTTGCTTTGCTGGACTGGTCTTGTGACCCTTTGTTCTCCCCCACTTTGCCTATGGGGGTGTGTTAAACTGTATTATGCTTGTAGGCTGTAGTGGGGTAGCCAATATGGGGTACAACCCCAACTAGGGTTTCATATTTGTACCCAAACTTCTGCTAGTTCATCATCCTTGCCTAGTGATTCTGACAGTACCCATTTGCTCCTAACCCTTTCCGTGTGCCCATTGTACCCTTCGTCCCCCATATTGAACCCTTTATCTCCTCTTTTTGATCTATGTCCATTGATGAGCTTGCCTCTAGTCTCACCTCCCTTCGCCCATATCACCTCTAATCTCTTCCCTCCCCCTTCTTTCTCCTCCCCTCGCTTCCATTACCGCTCATCCCAATGCTCTTTCTATTCCCTTCTCATCCCAACCCATTTTCCCTTCTAATTTTTTCCTTTATGCCCATAAACACTTATATATTTGTCACTCCAGGTTTTCCGACAACACGTCCCTAGCTAGAGCCCATCAATTTCCACTTGCAGCACCGCTATACACCTTTCGTTGCATGTGAATAGGAAAAGTGTGCTTGGCACCATATTATTCAAGTGAGCTTATTTAGGGAAACTTGACACTATTTTGATGACTCTTTGTTTGTGTGTGTGTGTGTGTGTGTGTGTGTGTGTGTATGTGTGTGTGTGTGTGTGTGTGTTTTTTTTTTTTTTTAATGATAGTGTTGATTGTAGTAACCATTTGGTTGCAAACAAAGTATCAATAACCAAATCGTGCTGAGTATTTAGACAATTTCTGAGGTCAAAAGGGACCTGCAGCTGAGTCCACCCTAATGCTCACTCAACCGCCCACTTTGAGCAGTCCCATGTACAGCCAACAGGAGAGAGGAGCATAGGCAAAGATGGGGAAGGGGAGTGAAATGGGCATCAGGTGTATTCTTTTTTTTGTTTTGTTTTTGTTTTCCTAGGTTCTCTGTTCGTGCTCGGTAACAGTGAATATTGGCACTCGCGTGCACAGTTGCTCGCCTTCTTTTGTTCTGTATTGCTCACCAATTCCGCAAGGCCACCGCCTTCACCCTCGCTATATTACAACCCGATTTGTTTTTCTCACACTTCACAACCCTGCATAGTTCAGAATGGACATCCCCAGAAAACGCAATAGTTCTACTAGGTGCCAAAACAAATCACCCGAGCTCATCAACATACATCGATGTTCCTCCACATCTGTCGACATCCACCCTGAACACGCGCTAAGCAAAGAAACGGTAGTAGCAGTAACCTGGTAAGCGACTGACGAGCTGGAGATGGCGTTAAGTCGTAGAATGATAGCGCGAATGGCGGCGGCGGTGGCGTTGTGGATGGGGTGTGCGGGCGTGCTGGCGGGGATCGTGGCGTGGAGGGTGCAGAAGGGCTTCGACGACAATCGCAAGGCGGAGCTCGACACCTGGTGCGCCGGTCGCGCGCGCTCGCTGCAGCAGCAGTTCATGCTCACCGCGGACCACGTTCAGGTAGATGGCCGACGTGCAGATACGGCGCGACATTTTGCAGCTGTCTGCGGCTGACCACGTGCAGGTAACTATCGCCGCCGCATCAACCGCTTCCATCATTCGCATTGCAACGCAGCGACGGTTTGCGTCGTCGGTGACGGGACGGGTTGATATTCGCGTGAGATTGAGGACATGGCTTCCTCTTTACTATGGTTTCACCCACGCGCTCGTTCTCCACCAGGCGCTGCCTCTATTTTTCGGAAACATGCCAGTCGCTTGTGTGTGTGTGTGTGTGTGTGTGTGTGTGTGTGTGTGTGTGTGTGTGTGTGTGTGTGTGTGTGTGTGTGTGTGTGTGTGTGTGTGTTTTTTTTTTTTTTTTTTTTTTTTTTTTCAAAGCGCAGCACAACTTTGGATTTTCTTTTCATCTTGCGTGCCTCGAGATGATACAATAAGCCCAGTATTAGCGTTCCAACAAACATGTACACCTAGATTCACCGTGAAAATCACGCGGCAACACGCCGCTGTTGATGCACGCGGCTCTAAGCAGAGTCGCATTGGCGTGGCGAGCCGTGTGAGCAGACCGCAGATGGCACTGCTGACACACCGCACCGCATGCCAGACTTGCCAAGTGCTACCAGCTTCCTATCTCTTAACCCTTCCTCTAAATTTGATGCCTGAAGGGAGCAAGCTTCATTGCTTGAAGATATTTTTGCAAACCAGGAAACACTGGTTTGACGTGAGACCAGCCGAAGAAAAAAAACACCAGGGTAAAAAAAGGCCCAGGGAAGAGGGGCCAGGGGGGTTTGGGGGGCAGGGGGGGAGGGGGGGGGGGAAGGCGGGGGGGGGAGATTGGGAGGAGAGGAGAAGAGAGTGGGCAGGTGTGGAAGTTGCAAGTCACAAAAATGACACGAGTAAAAAAAAAAAAAAAAAAAAACAATCTCTTGTTTTCTTCTTGCCGAGCGTCAAGTATCAAATCATTGGAACGCTTGGCGCTTTCAGCGTCGGTCCCCACGTAGCTCCCACCCCTGCCCTCGGCAGCACGTGAGGCAGCCAGACGTGTTGCCAGCACCGCTAAGCATACTGCCCCCTGTGTGACCCTTGCATGTGCCCACCCATGTGACCCCCGACCGATGCCATGTGCCCCCCCATGCGCTCACCATGTGGGCCCCCATGCCATGCGCTTCCCCACGCTGTCCCCATGTGCCCCCCCATGTGTCCCCCATGCGGCCACCCATGCTTCCGATCATGCATTCCCATGTGTTCATGAGGCACCATGGGACTGGCCAGTGTGGGGGGGGGGGGGGACCGGCACACAAGGACCCACTGTGGCAGTGGGGGGGTGTTGCGGGGAGCATTCATTCCCTCGGGCTGTGCCCTGCGCACCTGCTATCTGCAGCTGCTGCAATCATCACCCCATGCCACCATCACCCCATGCCACCATCACCCCATGTCACCATCACCCCATGCCACCATCACCCCATGCCACCATCACCTCATGCCACCATCACCCCGTGCCACCATCACCCCGTACCACCCCGTCCCCACCCACTCATCTCTGCTCCACCCCACCCCACTCCACCCATCCCAACCCACCCACCCACACGTGCGTGCGTGCATCAGGCGCTGGAGGGGCTGGCGGTGGTGTTTGGGGGGGTGCAGGAGGACCCATGGGTGGTGAACAGCAGCCTGACTCAGAGGAGCTTCGCCAACTACATCTTGCGCACGCAGCCCGCCCGCCCCTGGGTGCACTCCGTTGCCTACATTGCCCTGGTCAACGGCTCCGACAGGCAAGTCCTCTGCTTGAGTCGAGTCGACACGTGTGTCCTCTTTTTGAGTCGACAGGTATGTCTGGAAATTGACAACCCCCCCTTCCCCCCCCCCCCCCCCCCCCCCCCTCCTTCTTTTCCAGTCCACTCACCCACCCCAGGTAGGGTTTTGACTCGTGTGCAAGGTAACCCTAACCGTTCACTAACTCTGGCTGCGAAGTTGGCCAGACTTAGTTGACCTCTACTTGCCTTTGTGTGGTAGGGTTGGCTTTGCGAAATAGAGAGGGGCGAAATGGGGTGGAAGAGAAATTGCATGGACAATGTTTGGGATCTGGTTCAATTTAGGCAAAATCGAACCGGATTCCCATAGAAATTACAGACGCGACGAATCTTGTCGCGTGACTTTTTTTTTGGGCTGCCCGAAGAAATTATGGCTGAGCATCCAGCGTCCAGCGTACGAACGCTGACATATATACGCTGGCTGGACGCTCCCTGTCCAGAGCGTATGTCCACTTCAATTTCAGCCCCTTTCTCTTCCACTCATCCACCTTAGGTAGTGGTGTCAATCCCCTTCTCTTCCACTCTCCCACCCTGAGTGGGGTTTCAGCCCCCTTCATCTCAACTAAGCTTATGCCAATTCCTTTGTCCGTTTGCTCAACTTCACCCATCGTACATGCACAACACAAGGGGGATAAACCCTCCTTCGCCCTGTGTTCTCCCCCCCACAGTCGCTTCCCCTGCAAGGATGCAGGACAGCCTTTGAGCACCGCGTGGTCATGCTGACTGCCAATGAACCATCAAATGCGTTGCATTGCGTTGCCCTCTCAAAAGCACCCCGCACGTTGCCCCTCCCCTCTTCTTCTCGCATCTCCTGGCATCTCCTGGCATCTCTCCCCCAGGGCGACCTTTGAGCGGCGCATGGGGTGTGTGCTGGTGGACACGTCGTACCAGCCGTGCCCGCCCGCCGACTGGTACATGGACGTGCGCCTGTGGTTCGACGCCTTCCACCCCTTCAACCGCACTGAGTCCGCCACGTATTGCCTCGACGGCCGGCAACATCCGACGTATGGGGCGCAGCTGATCCGCGCCAAGGAAGCTCCCGAGAAGATGCTCACGGAGCCCACCGTGCTCACCAATGGGCATCCAGGCATGGGTGAGCGGGCACGGCTGTGAAATGGGCTCATCTCAAGCATTCTGACACACCTCTATCTATCCCTTCTGCTCTCTCCCTCCCTTATTCCTCCTGGCCCCCCTCTCGTTCTTTTTTGTGGGTTTTCTCTGTGTCTGTCTTCCCTCCTCCCCCCTTTCCCAATTTCCTTTTATTGCATTTTTTTTATTCCTCTCAGAGTCGCCCATTGCCTCTCCGTCTGCGAGTCCTACAGGCATGATGCTCCCGATCTTCAAGGGCAACATGACGGCAGCATCGGCCTTGCGAGACAGGCAGGCAGCACTGATGGGTGTGTTTGCAGCGATGATGGACTTCACCCGCCTGGCCGACTTCATCGATCTCGAAGTGCTCTTGCAAGGTGCGCTGCGGCTGCTGCCCCGCCGACTGGCGATAGCAAGGCTATTCCGGGCGAGTTGAGAAGCAGAAACAGCTATTGCTGTGTATCTGACCAACTGATCAGCCAACTTTTGCAGTGCTGGTTGAGAGGTATTGGTACTGTCTCGGCAATTTGACTGTTCGTGTTTGTTTCCGCTCAACTAGGTACTGAGGCAGCTTGAGAATCATCACTAACGAGGTTCATAAGCCCTCATATTCCTCTTGTTGCTCCTGTGCATTCAGAGAGGGAGGGAATATTTCTCTTCACTTGTACGACGTCCAGTCCAGGGTGCCTGCTAGAGAGTGCTGTACTGTTCACATAAACAAGAATACCTCCATGGAGCATTCTCTAGGAGTGACTTTTTAATCGACTTCACTTTTATGAATTCTCAAAAGTCACCGCAAAGCAATGTTTCCGTCGCCCTGCTGGTGCATGCAGGCATGGAGTATTCTTTAGAGATGTATGACGTCACGGCCACGGATGTGCTCCCCGGCTCCTCCACCCCGCTGGGCCCGCGCCTGCTGTACGGAGCGGGTGACTTGCCTCAAGGCAACCCCATGCACGTGAACAAGCTCATTCCGCCCTCCAACGAAACCATGCTGCAGCCACACCGCCACAAGGCGGTGCACCAAATCAACCTCACCGACTCATCAAGAACATACCAGCTCTGGTGCCGGTCAGTTGACTCTCTCAACCATGCAATGCCCTTCAACCATGCAATGCCCTTCCTTCCAAACCTCTCCATCGTCTCAATTCATGTTTTCGCCTGCTAGTAGGTTTTGTGACCTTTGTTGTGCTCCCCGCTTGACTCACAATACTTCATCCTCCCACTCACATCCCTCCCACTCACACCCTTCCCACTCACAACCCTCCCACTCACAAACCTCCCACTCACAACCCTCCCACTCACAACCCTCCCACTCACAAACAACCCTCCCACTCACAACCCTCCCACTCACCAATTCATCACGGAGTTGCCATCTTTGGTGCCGTGAGTCGCTTCTTGATATGCACTGCTCTTCCTCCTTAATCGCTCCTCCCTGCCCTCTTTCAGCATTGTCGTGACCGACAAAAATGAATAGGTGAGGGGATTGTAAGTTTGACAGCCGCCCTACCCACCCAGCCAACCCTACACACCTTATGCTTGGACTTTCCCCGCACCTCCCATCATATTCTCCACTGCACTGCACTCAATGATTTCAACCGACATTCCCTCGGCTCCCTCTGGCCCCAATGTGCCGCTTGGGTGGGTGGGCTGCCAGCTTTCAGGGCTCGCACAGCATGACAGCTATATTCCTGGGGCTCATCATCCTCGTCGTGGTTTTTGAGGCGCCTAAAAAATAGTCTCCCACCGGCCCCAATGCGCCTCCTGCGCTGCCAGCTTTCAGGGCTCGGACACAGCGCACAGCATGACGGCCATATTCCTGGGCCTCATCATCCTCGTCGTGGCGGCGCTGCTGGCGGCCATCGGCGTGAGCGTGACAGTGAACACGCGGCGGCTGCGCGAGAAGACGGATGCGCTGGAGGCGCTCAAGGAGCAGGCGGAGGTGGCGGAGCGCAACAAGAGTGTGTTCGTCGCCAACACTGCTCATGAGCTGCGCACGCCCATCAATGGCATGGAAGGTTCGCTCATAGTGGCACTGAGGCGCATGAGTGACCTGGGGAAGTACTGCCTCAAAACGTGTGAAGTATTTTTCTTCTTCTTCTTCTTCTTCCTCGAATTCGGCCGGTTCCGGGCGTACTGATCTGGTTTTGGTTTAAGCAGGATCCACTGAAGTCAAGGAACCATTTCAACTGAAAGCTCACAATAACTGTGCTGCGCTCATGATACCATAACATGTGAGCCTCCACGTTCTAATCTCTGCGAATCACCACTCGCTGCGCCAACGGCCCTACAGGCCTGCTGAAGCACCTGGACGAGAGGGGGCTGGACGAGGAGCAGAGGGACGACATGGGGTCGGTGGTGGAGCAGGCGGAGAAGATCCTCAGCCTTGTCAACACCGTGCTGGACGTCTGCAAGGCTGAGGCCGGCCGCCTGCACCTCGAGAGCCTGCCGTTTGACCTGCGCTCGTGGCTGCGTGACGTGCTGCACCCACATGTGCAGGCTGCTCGGGAGCGAGGCTTGACATGTAATCACCCTCCCTCTCTGCCCTCTCTCTCTCGCCCGTGTCTTGATCACCTGTTTCTGCCGGTGCTTCTCTTCATGCTTTTGATTGATTCTTCTTCTAATAACCATAAGTGCCTGATTGTTCTGCTTGTGCATGTGGGGGCCTATGCAGTCACATGGAATGTGGATGGCGATGTGCCCAGTGTGGTGGTGGGCGACTACCTTCGCCTGCAGCAAGTGGTCAACAGAATAGTCGGTGAGTGGATGGATGATCATGAGTCCAATCGAATCACTCTGCACTACATGTGGTTGAGGGCGTTGGATGGGCTTAGGGCTTAGGGTTTACGGGTCAGGGGTCAGGGTTTACACGCGAAGATGAGGCGAGGTGAGTCAAGCCGGCCTCCGCTCACCACACGTGGTACCCTTACGTCAAAATGAGTCGACGTCGCCTTCACTTCACCCGAGCCGAAGTAAGAGACAGGTTTGTTTTGGCTAGCTTACGGAATATCCTCAGCTGCAGGAGGCTGGAGCACCCAAACACAAAACTTTTACAGCTTATTCCTGTCCGATTCACAAACTTGTCAGTGTAACGTCAGTCACATTATAGCCATGAGCATAGGCCGAAGCCAAGTCTGCTCGCGTTGATTTGAGGCTCGGCTAGCCAGTGGGCTGATGAGTTGGCGGGCTAACGAGCCGAGCCAGCAGCTGACCGCTCGAGCCAGCAGCTGACTGCTCGATTCTTTCGTGCATCGTAGGTGAGCCGGACGAGCCAGGAGGCGCACATTCCTCAACTCTGCTTCTTTTCTTCCGTTTGGTCTCAACGGGCTCTCGCATTTCACCTCTGTGGGTTGACAAATTGGACTCGTTGCTTGCTTGTGTTGATGCCCCCCCCAGACAACGCCGTCAAGTTTACGAGCAGCGGAGGCGTGTGCGTGCGGCTGCAGTGCCTCCCCCCCCACACCCACATCCCCACCCACCTGCTCTCACTCGGCTGCCTCGTCACTGAACCCGCCCCCTGCTGCTCCTCGCCTGCCGCTGCTCCCACTGCTGCAAAACCCTCTGCTGCTGCTGCGAGTGCAGGCGAGCATGGGATGGGAGTGGGAGAGCCGCTGATCAGGACAACGTTTTGGGAGCACGTGGGGCAGAGAGGGCTGGTGCGGGCGGTGATTGGCGCATGCCATGAGCGGATGCCTTGGGTGCTTCTGCGCGGCCTCTCTGCGCAGTGCCTGGGGTGCTACTGGCTCATGCCTCCGGTTCAGGAGGGGCGGCAGGAGCAGGAGGACAGCGAGGAGAGGGAGGGACGTGAGGAGAGGGAGGAGGGGGAGGAGAGGGTGAGCGTTCGGGAACAAAGTGCTGCGTATAATGAAATCGGGGGAGATGGGGGAGGCGAGAGGCCTGGAGGAGGCGAAGTGGGCAATGCGGGGTGCAGGAGCAGCGGTGGTGGTGCACAGCAGCACATGGTGGGAGTGGCAGGAGCACCGGTGATCCCTCTCCGACCACGTGCTGCTGTGCAGGGAGCAACGAGGCATGGTGACGATGCTGCGAGTCAAGCAGCGACGACAGCTACAGGGGATGATGCTGTGGGCGCGTGGAGGAGAGCTGTGGAGAGGTGTTGGCGCGTGCGTGGCAGAGAGCAAGGCACGGATGCTGCAGAGGGGGGAGGTGGCAGGCGGTGTGTGGTGGTGGTGACATGTGAGGACACGGGGTGTGGCATCGCAGAGGAGGAGCAGCACCATGTGTTTCAGGCGTTCATGCAGGTGAGCCCTGCCCCTCATGCAGATGTGCCCTGCCCCTCATGCAGATGTGCCCTGCCCCTCATGCAGGTGTGCCCTGCTCCATGTATGTATCAATTACCCTAAAGAAAAAGGTGAGCCCTGCCCCTCATGCAGGTGAGTCACTGCGCCCTGCCCCTCATTCCATGCATGCATCATGCAGGCGAGTCGTGCGCTCGCGTTGAAGATTCGGTGAAGAACCAACATCTACCCTTCAACATCTACCCTTCAACTCAACATCTACCCTTCAACATCTACCCTTCAACATCTACCCTTCAACTCAACATCTACCCTTCAACTCAACATCTGCCCTTCAAGCACATGCTAGAGGCACACAGGTATCAGCTGAATATGACCTCCGTCCATCCACGTGCTAGCGTCTCAACAGACTGACAACTGCGTTCTCTCTCTCGCTTCTCACACCACCCACCTATCAGACCCGTGCGCATGGAGGCAGCGGCATGAGCCTGCACTTGTGTCGGCAGCTGGTGAGTCTTTTCTGACAGTTGCCAGGCCTCCAAAACTTGTAAGTTTTGCTGACGGTTTTTTAACAGTTTGACTTGGTGATTTCTCAGACCTTCAAAACTTTCCGGTCGTTATTTCATCCACACTCCAATGTGAACTCCTAGACTAGAAGCACATGTACTTCCAAATCCCCGCTGTCTGACAGGGCCGCCCGCCACAGTCACATTCATTCACACTAGTCACATTCATTCACACTAGTCACATGCATTCACACTAGTCACATGCATTCACACTAGTCACATTCATTCACACTAGTCACATTCATTCACACTAGTCACATGCATTCACACTAGTCACATTCATTCACACTAGTCACTTTCATTCACACTAGTCACATTCATTCACACTAGTCACATGCATTCACACTAGTCGCATGCATTCACACTAGTCACATTCATTCACACTAGTCACATTCATTCACACTAGTCACATGCATTCACACTAGTCACATTCATTCACACTAGTCACATGCATTCACACTAGTCACATTCATTCACACTAGTCACTTTCATTCACACTAGTCACATTCATTCACACTAGTCACATGCATTCACACTAGTCGCATGCATTCACACTAGTCACATTCATTCACACTAGTCACATTCATTCACACTAGTCACATGCATTCACACTAGTCACATTCATTCACACTAGTCACATGCATTCACACTAGTCACATTCATTCACACTAGTCACATGCATTCACACTAGTCACATTCATTCACACTAGTCACATGCATTCACACTAGTCACATTCATTCACACTAGTCACATGCATTCACACTAGTCACATTCATTCACACTAGTCACATGCATTCACACTAGTCACATGCATTCACACTAGTCACATTCATTCACACTAGTCACATTCATTCACACTAGTCACATGCATTCACACTAGTCACATCCATTCACACTAGTCACTTTCATTCACACTAGTCACATTCATTCACACTAGTCACATGCATTCACACTAGTCGCATGCATTCACACTAGTCACATTCATTCACACTAGTCACATTCATTCACACTAGTCACATTCATTCACACTAGTCACATGCATTCACACTAGTCACATTCATTCACACTAGTCACATGCATTCACACTAGTCACATTCATTCACACTAGTCACATGCATTCACACTAGTCACATTCATTCACACTAGTCACATTCATTCACACTAGTCACAACTGTGACTTAACAATTCATTCATCCCCAGGCGTGCGCCCCATGGATGGCAGGTGGCGCTCATGGGGGGCAGCATTGGGCTACTCAGCACAGAGAGCCACGGCACAGAGAGCCACGGCACAGAGAGCCACGGCACCACCCTGCATGTCGCTCTGCCCATGGCGGTTGCTGATGCTACTGCTGCTGCAAGTGTGTGTGGCAACTCGGGTTCAGGCAGCGCCACCATCTCTGCGCCGCAGGCTGCCTGTGCTGCTTTCTCCTCGTCTGGCGACGAAGCAGCTGTTCCACGGGCAGTGGAGACGAAGAGTGCGAGTGATAGGCTCAAGGAGTTGCTGCAGGGCAAGGCGATTCTGGTGAGATGCAGGGCAAGGCGATTCTGGTGAGATGCAGGGAAAGGCGATTCTGGTGAGATGCAGGGCAAGGTGTTTTGAGACAACTGTTTAAACCGGAAGGAGTCTCGTGTGTTAGTGGGGGTTGCTTCGCAACACCGATACCTCCATGCAAATGCAGACTAGCCTCCATGCAAATGCAGACTAGCCTCCATGCACATGCAGACTAGCCTCCATGCACATGCAGACTAGCCTCCATGCACATGCAGACTAGCCTCCATGCACATGCAGACTAGCCTCCATGCACATGCAGACTAGCCTCCATGCACATGCAGACTAGCCTCAATCGTTTCTGTTTCCTCCTCTCCACAGTCCCCACAACCCAACCCGCCCTCTCCTTGTTGCTGGGTTGCAATGCAACCAACCTTGTTGTACCCCTTACAAGGACTCTGCTCTCTTTCCTCCCACACATGGCTCAAGGCACCCCTCTGTGTGCACCCCTCCTGTCTTCACCCAGTGGTGGACAGCGAAGTGAAGAGCGCATACCGATTCTGTCTCCGTCTCCAATCTGTTGTGCTCTTATCCCCTCTCCACCCCCTCTCTCATCCTCTCTCCACCCCCTCTCTCATCCCCTCTCCACCCCCCCCCCTCATGCCCTCTCCACTCCCCCTCATGCCCTCTCCACCCCCCCTCTCATGCCCTCTCTACCCACCCCCTCTAACCTCCTCTCCACCCGCCCTGGACCCCCTGTGCTGTGCACCAGGTGGTGGACGACAATGCCATCAACCATTCTCAGCCCCTCTGCACGCCTCCCTGTGCCCTCTCTGTGCACCAGGTGGTGGACGACAACGCCATCAACCGGCGGGTGGCAGCGAGCACACTCACACGGTACGGGGCGGAGGTGGCGCTGGCAGAGTCGGGTGAGGCGGCTCTGCGCCTTCTGCAGGCCTCGCGCCCCCCCCTGCACGCCTTCCGCCTCGTGCTCATGGACCTTCAGATGCCCGGCCTCGACGGCTACCAGACCACCGCCCGCCTTCGCGCCCTAGAAGCCACCGCTCACACGGGCCAGGAGGGGGTGCAGGGAGGACAGCGTGTTCATGTGGTGGCCATGACAGCAGATGTGGACAGCACAGTGGTTGCGCGTGCCACAGAGGCTGGCATGGATGGTGCTGTGCAGAAACCACTCAACGAGAGGCTGCTGCTGCGGGTGCTCTCAACGCTAAATGGTTTGTAACTCCATTCACGTACTTATAGTCTCTGCATCATTAGCCTGGCTTGCCCGGCCCCTCCTGCACCACCTGTTGAAAACTCTAGGCAGGAATGATCAACTAAGGATGAGTTTGGGTACAAATATGAAACCCTAATGGGGTTGTACCCCATATTGGCTACCCCACTACAGCCTACATATATATATATATATATCACATATATATAATGTTTGACACACCCTCATAGGCAAAGTGGGGGAGAGCAAGGGGTCACAAGACCAGTCAAGCAAAGCAAAAACAAGCTCAGGGTGGATCACAATGTCACCACACTCTCTGAGCACAAGCAAAGGCCACAAGGCCAGTTCACATGCAGATCTATATAGAACAATACAAGCAGTACAGTGATCACAGCCTAGCAAGTGTAAGCATGCAAGGAGATATATATATAGATCACAATACAAACAAAGTCAAGCCGTAAGCAAGTGAGAAAACGTGGACACAAGGCCTAACGCAGTGCAGTGACGCTGATGATCACCAGGCGGAAGTGCCTTGGTGAAAATATCAGCAGTGTTGGCCTTCGAGTCCACGTACGCAAGGCGCAGCTTGTCGAGATAGCTAGGCAAGGTGGTTCGATTGACGAGAGAGTTTGGTACATGACACACAACCCTAAAGTGTTATCCCCTATAACATCTACCCCACTTCAGCCTACCAATATAAATCACAGATATATATCATTTGACACACCCCCATAGGCAAAGTGGGGGAGAGCAACGGGTCACAAGACCAGTCAAGAGAAGCAAAACAAGCTCAGGGTGGATCACAATGTCACCACACATTCTGAGCACAAGCAAATGGCCACAAGGCCAGTTCACATGCAGAGATATATATGCAGCAATGACAGTACAGTGATGGCTACCTAGCAAGAGCCAGCATGCAGGTATATATATATATATATATATATATATATATATATATAGATCACAGTACAAGCAGAAACTACAGCAAGTGTGGAAGCGTAGGCACAAGGCCTAACAGGGTACAAAAGCGCTGATGATCACCAGACGGAAGTGCCTTGGTGAATATATCAGCAGTTTTGGCCCGAGTGGCCACGTGACGAAGACGAAGCTGGCCTCGCTGCTGCAACTCTCGAGCCAGGAAGTAACGCAGAGCAATGTGCTTTGTTCTGTGCTCCAGTCTGTGCTCCTCACACAAGGCAATGGCGGCCTTGTTGTCGACATACAGCACTGGAGGAGAACGAGGCTGCTCTCCCAAGTCAGTCAGCAGGTAGGTGAGCCAGCGTAACTCCTGTGCAGCCATGGCTGTGGCGTAGATCTCAGCCTCACAACTGGAGCTGAGAACTAAAGACGAGCGTGTAGAACGCCACGAAACTGAACCAGAGCCAAGGCTGAAAGTGTAACCCTGTGATGACCGCTGAGTAGCCAGGTCGTCAATCCAAGAAGCGTCTGAGTGCCCAGTGAGGACAACTGGGCTCGTCCCTCCAAGCACTAGCCCCATGCCTGATGTGCTGCACAAGTAACGCAGTACCCTCTTAGCAGCAGCCATGTGCTCAGGTCGGTGCCGACCAGGAGCCACGTAGCGAGCCAGGAGACCAAGAGGGTACGCAAGGTCAGGTCGAGTGCAAGTCATCAGGTACATGAGGCAGCCGACTAACTCTGGGTAAGGACCACTCGGCTCTACAGACTCGTCCGAAGGTGGAGCTGAGAGCGTGTGACCTGTAGCCAGAGGAGTGGCCTGTGCTGAAGACCAGGTGAAGCCGAAGCGCTGAAGGACCTGCTGCACCATGTGTGACTGAGTCAAGGTGATGGTGCGGCGTGCTCTGTCCCGGGTGATCTGCAAGCCAAGGTAGCTGCGCAGCTCACCCAAGTCTGTGCACGTGTGTCTCTTCTGCAGCTCGGACTTCACGTGGGCGAGAGCCTCAGTGTCAGCAGTGGCAAAAACCAAGTCGTCGACGTACACGAGGATGTAGAACGGCGGCAGTGAAGTGTCGGTGCGCAGAAACAGCGACGGGTCAGCAGTCGAAGGCGCAAACCCAAGAGCCGCAAGCGTAGTCCTCAGTGTGTCGTGCCACTCACGTGGCGCCTGGCGGAGACCGTAGACCGGCCGCCGGAGGCTCCACTGGGTGCCAGGAGGGAACGACCCAGTGAAGCCCGAGGGACGGCGCAGCCATATCTCCTCGTGCAGGCTGCCCTGCAAGAAAGCTGTGCTGAAGTCAAGAGAGTGAAGTTCGTAGTCACGGTGAGCAGCAACATGCAGCAGCACCCGAAGAGTGGTCATCTTCGGGGTGGGGGAGAAGGTCTGGAAGAAGTCAACTCCCTCTCGCTGACTGAAGCCTCGAGCCACGTAACGCGCCTTGAAGACAGGCGGAGAACCCGGCGGCCGCTTCACCCTGAAAATCCACATGCCACTGACGATGTTCGCCCAAGGTGGGGGAACCTCGTCGACATAGGTGTGAGAAGAAAAGGTAGAAGAGAAGTTGATGGATTGATTGAAAGGATGGGGGGTTTACATAGGAGATGAGTTGGAAACTAGCCTAGGTGAACATTATTGGACCCCAACCAAGGAGTTGGGTTGGGAGATTATTGGTGGGGTCCAATAATGTTGGCCAAGTTGGAGTTGGGCCAACATTATTGGAGGGGACCAATAATTCTACCCATCCCAACCCTTGGGGTCCAATAATTGGACCAAGGTTGGGTTTCCAACCTACAAATTGGGTAACCCCTGCTTGTACACCCAAACTAAGTTTGGGTGCTTATCTCTAGCCTATCCTATAGCATATATGCAGGTTACAAGAGAGGAGATATTCTAACACAACCCCTTAACCTGCAGAGATGCGGAAAGGCTGGAGAGCAGCAACCCCTGAATCAAGGCGCTCCTGGAGGAGCGAGGCCAATGAGGCGGAGGAGAGCAGAGTGCGCGGGGCGAAGAAGTGCTTTGGTGAAGATATCCGCCAAATTGGCTTCAGTGGCGATCTTGCGGACGGCGATAAGATTCTGTCGGACGAGGTCGCGGATGAAGAAATAACGGAGCTCGATATGCTTGGAGCGACCATGAAAGACTGGATCCTGGGTGAGGTGGATGGTGCTGGCGTTGTCACACCAGAGCGTGGGACAGCGCTGGGGGGCACCAAGCTCTGCCAGAAGAAAGCAGAGCCAGCGGGACTCTTGAGCGGCCATGGTGCCCGCATAGAGCTCAGCTTCGCAGGAAGAGAGAGCGATGGCGGAGGAGCGGGTGGAACGCCAGCTGATAAGTCCGCTGCCGAGGGTAAAGCCATAGCCTTGGGAGGAGCGGCGGTCTGGCTGATTGTCTGCCCAGGAGGAGTCACTGAAGCCCGAGAGAAGGGGAGGGGAGGATCCACCCAGTGTGAGAGCGTGATCCTTGGTGCCGCAGAGATAGCGAAGGACCCGCTTGGCGGCAGCCCAGTGCTCCTCAGTGTGACGTCCAGGGCCGACGAACCGAGCAAGGACGCTGACAGGGTAGGCGAGGTCGGGGCGGGTGCACATCATCGCGTACATCAGCGACCCAACGAGCTCGGCGTAGGGCCGGGAGGAGGAGGAGGGGGAGGTGGGTGGCGCAAGTTGGTGACCGAAGGGGAGGGGGGTGGAGACTGGTTTGGCCTGCGCCATCTCAAACCTCTCCAGGACCTGGCCGATGTAGTGGGACTGGGAGAGAGTGATGGTGCGGGCGGATCGATCACGGGTGATAGCCATGCCGAGGTAGTTCTGGAGGGGACCAAGGTCCTTGCACTTGAGTCGTTCCTGAAGTGACCGCTTCATCTGGTCCATGTCGGCCCTGGAATCCGCCAGCAGGATCATGTCGTCAACGTAGACCGAGATGAAAAAGCGACTGGGGGAAGAGCGGATGAAGAGGCTGGCGTCGGAGTGGGAGGGGGAGAAGCCAAGGGACTGGAGAGTAGCAGATAGCTTCGCATGCCATTCTCGTGGTGCCTGCTTCAGGCCATAGACCGGTCGCTTCAGCTGCCAGACGGTGTTGTCGGGGAACTTAGCATGGAACCCGGGAGGTCGGCGGAGAAAGATGCGTTCGTGCAGTTCACCTTGCAGGAAAGCGTTGGAGACGTCCATGGAGTCAATCTCCATGTCGTCTCTTGCACCGATGTCAAGAAGGGTGCGTAGGGTGGCCTGCTTGACGGTGGGGGCGAACGTGAACCAGTAGTCCTCAGCCCAGGTCTGGGTGAACCCCTTGGCAACGTAGCGGGCTTTGTAGACTGGTTCTTCTCCCGGCAGCTGCTTGACTCGAAAGATCCACTTGCCCTCAACCAGGTTGGCGTCAGGAGGGAGGGGAACGTCAATGAAGGAGTTATTGTGGATGAATGCTTCACATTCCTGAAAGATGGCGGCTATCCACTTATCGGCGTCAGGGCAGGTGATAGCCTCTTGGAAAGTGGAGGGGACGAAGATGGTGGGAGCGGGGATCGCGCTAAGGAGTAGGGCGCCGAGGAGGTCAGGGGAAAGTACTGTGAGAGAGGGAGTGTGGCGCCGGACCATGGTGAACTCCTCATGGGAGTCCTCCAGTTGGTTGAGGGAGGGAGGAGACGGTGCACCAAGGATGGGGTCAAGGGAGCGGGTGTGCATGCGAGGGAGGAGGAAGGGTGAGGAGCGGGCAATTGCCCTGCGCCGCTGCTGCTGCTGGTGCTGCTGGAACCCCTGCTGCTGCTGCGGCTGCTGCCCCTGCTGCTGCTGCTGCGGCTGCTGTTGCTGTTGTGGCTGCTGCGGCTGCTGCTGCTGCCGCTGCTGGTGCTGCCCTTGCTGCTGCTGCGGCTGCTGCTGCTGTTGCTGCTGCTGCTGCTGCTGTTGCTGCTGCTGCTGCAGCTGCTGCTGCTGCCGCTGCTGCCGCTGCTGCTGTTGCTGCTGCTGCTGCTGCTGCTGCTGCTGCTGCTGCTGCTGCTGCTGCTGCTGCTGCTGCTGCTGCTGCTGCTGCTGCTGCTGCTGCTGCTGCTGCTGCTGCTGCTGCTGCTGCTGCTGCTGCTGCTGCTGCTGCTGCTGCTGCTGCTGCTGCTGCTGCTGCTGCTGCTGCTGCTGCTGTTGCTGCTGCTGCTGCTGCTGCTGCTGCTGCTGCTGTGATGGATGAGGAGGGGAGTGGGAAGGGGAGGGGGGAGGGGGAGCCGTGGAGTGTGCGGGGGAGGCAGGAGCAGTGGGATCGTAGACGTCGGCGGATGAAGGTGGCGGAAGCGGGGTGGGGAGGGGTGGGAGAAGAGGTGCCGGAGGGAGGAGGGGAGGGAGGACGGTGTCGGCCCAAGCGAGAGGACGTGCGGGAGGAGGGAGGGGGTCTGGTGGTGGGGAGGAGTAGTACGGGGTGGTCTCATCGAACACAACGTCAATGCTGCGGATGAGGCGACCAGAGGGAGGGTGAAGGAAGAGGTAACCAGGCGAGTCGCGGTTGTGTCCGAGGTAGACACACTCGAGGGCGCGAGGAGCGAGCTTGCCTTGGGTGCGGTCGGGTGGAGGAATAAGCACATATGCCTTGCAACCCCAGACACGGAGACCGGCAGCGTCAGGTTTGGTTCCTGACCAGAGCTCCGTGGGGGTAGCGGCAGTGTGTTGGGGATGGGAGTGAAGGTTGAGGAGGAGGGCAGCATGGAGGAGGGCATAGCCCCAGAGAGAGGGAGGGGTGGAGGCGTGAGCAAGGAGACAGCGGGCGATCTTAGTGATTTCGCGAATGCGGCTTTCTGCAACGCCGTTCTGCTGTGGGGAGTGGGGAAGAGTGTGGGTCTGTTGGATGCCATGGGTGGCGCAGTAGTGAGAGAGAGTGCGGTTGAGGAATTCGCCTCCCCCATCAGAGTGGAGGCGGCCGATGGGACGTTTGAAGTGGGTGCGGCATTGCTCTGCCCAGTTAATGATAATGGTCGGCGCCTGGTCTTTGGTGTGGAGGAGGAAAATGGAGGAGTAGCGGCTGTGATCGTCAACAAGAACCAACATGTAGCGATGGCCTTGGCGTGAGCGGGTGGGAGAGGGCCCCCAGAGGTCCATATGGACAAGGTCAATGGGTGCAGGAGCGAAGGATGGGTGGCTGTGGTGAGGAGATTGTTTGAGTTTGCCGTGGATGCGGGAGGGGCATGGGGGGGCTGGGGAGGAGGGAAGGGGAGGAAGAGTTGGAGGGAGGCTGTGAAGAAGTCGTGAGGTGACGGCAGTGCGGAGAGCGGCAAAATTCGGATGGCCGAGTCGGTGATGTAGGAGAACAGCGGGGTGGGAGAGATGGTCGGAGGTGGAGGGGATTGGAATGAGTGAGGAAGGGATGGAGGAGTGGGGAGGAGACGGAGTGGGAGGAGAGGGAGGGAGATGGGGAGGGCTGGTGGAGGTACCCGCACGAGTGGTAACATGGCAGGAGGATGGCCACGGAGTGCGGAGAGTGTAGAGGCGAGTGCGAGGGCAGAGGGGTATGCGGAGGAGGAAGCGGCCGGAGGCAGTGTGGTAAAGGTCACAGTAGGTGGCATTACCAGGATAGACGGCAGTGATACCTGCACCTTGGATTTCACGGTGGGAGAGGAGGTTGTTTCGGAGAGTGGGGATGTGGAGACCAGTTACCTTGCCAGAGGGGAAGAGTGAACAGGGGAGAGTGGAGAGGTGTGTGCATGGGATGGTGAAGCTGCTGTCAGCACCGTGAACTTGAGTGGGAGGGGAGAGGGGTGTGAGTGTACCAGCGTCTTTGAGGGCGGTCTCAGTGGCCCCACTGTCAAGGACAAAGTCCAGAGTGGGTGAGGAGGAGGAGGAAGACACTGAGTACTGGAAAGTGGTTTCATTAATGTTGGATGGGTACATGGAAGGAAGAGAGGGCGAAATAGCTATGTTGCCAAGGAAGCTCTCGTGAGTGAGAGGGGTGGCAGTGCTACTGGGGGGGGGTGGGGCACCCCAAAGGGGGGCAGGTGAGGCTTGAGCGGCCATGGCTGCTGTGCCAAAGTTCAACTGCTGCTGCGGCCAGGGAGGAGGGCTGGGTCCCCACTGTGGCTGGGGTCCTGACCCCCATGGGTGCTGCGGCGGCTGTGGCTGCTGCTGCTGCTGCGGCTGAGGGTGAAACAGCTGCTGTAACTGCTGCTGCTGCTGCTGCTGCTGCTGCTGGAGGTGCTGCTGCTGGAGGTTGAGGAAGGGTGTGGGGGGAGCAAGGAGGCGGAGGTGGGCTGGGAGGTAGGCTGGATTGGTTTGGATATCGGTGGGGGAGGGGCGTGGGGAGATGTTGCCCCACTTTGGAGGAGTGCCAACGTTACCCCGCGCGTACCAGGCATCGTCGAGAGCCTTGAAGCACGTGCCAGGGGGATGGTTGGTCTGTCCGCAGGGAGTTCCAGCCCGAGGACCATAGCGGCGGACATAGGTGCAGGGCGACTCCCGCGACTTGCAGTGGGTCCACCCGAAGTGGTGGTGCCGTGCTCATCCCCAGTGGTGCCACCACGGTTGTTGCTGCTTCCCGAACCACCACCTCCCTTGCCCCCACCTCCTCCTTTGCCGTTGTTCTTTCCCTGCTTGCGAGGCTGGGTAGCGTTGAGGGAGGAGGAGGTGGGTTGGGAGGAGGCGAGGTTGACGATGGGTGTACGGAGTTTAACTTCGGTGTCGATAATCCACTGTTCAACGGAGGCGAGACCGGCCATGGGATTGGCTTCGGTAAAGGCGTGGAGGCGGGATTCGTAGTCTGGGGTGAGGTTAAAGAGGAGGCGGTGGATTTGAAGAGGTTCGGAGAGGCCGGCCTGGCGGGCTTCGAGGCGATCAGCTACCTCGCGCATGCGTCCGACGTAGTCGACTGCTCCGTCACAGGTGGCGAGGGTGATGGAAAAATACTCTTGGAAGAGGATGCCGACGGAGCTGATGTCGCGGCGCTCAAACATGGCATGGAGTTCTGCCCAGATGACCGAGGCACGGAGTTCCCGAGCCTGGAAGCGACGCATGAGGGAGTCAGGGAGAGCTCCAAGGAGAACGGTGCAGGCACGGGTGTCAGCAGCTGTCCAGGCGATGAGTCTGGGGGTGAAGTCAGCCATGTCGACCTTGTATTTGGCGACGACCTCGAGGTGAGCGTCGCGACCAGCAACCGCCTGATCATAGGCCTCAACTGCAGCATCGTACTCGGCTTTGCGGATGAGGTATTCACGGCGGCGTAGGATAAAATCAGTGTCCGCAGTGGCTTGGTCGGGGGTGATCTGAAGATCGGGTTCACGAGGAGGGTCGCCAGGAGTAGGAGGAAGAGGAGGAGTCTCGCCGGGGTGGGGAGGTTCGGTGGGGGGGAGGGCATGGGGGCGGCGGAGGATGACGTCAAGGACACGGTAGGGGGGAACCCATGCGTCGGAGAGAACGCGTCGGATGCTGCCGACGAAGGAGTGCCAGTTGACTGCGGACTTGTCCGCGGCGAGCTGGAGCTTATCAATGGAGGACGTATCAATAGGGGGAGGAAGTGGGGAGGGGGAGGGTGTAGGAGTAGCCATGATGGACGGCTGCAGGTGGACCCGCAGTGGTCACGGAGGAGCAACGGCGACGAGGCCGCGGGGGGGGGGGGGGGGGGGGGAGGGGAGTGGCGTGGGCAGCAGCGGCTGGCGAGGCCGCGGCGGTTGGCGCGGAGGCGGCGTTGAAGCCGCGGAGGGGCGCGGACGGCGGCGGCTGGCGAGGCCGCGGCGGTGCTGGCGGGGAGGCGGCGTCGAGGCCGCTGGAGGGGAAGGCGCGGGCGGCGGCTGGCGCGGAGGCGGCGACGAGGCCGCGGAGAGGCGCGGGCGGCGGCTGGCGAGGCCGCGGCGGCTGGCGCGGAGGCGGCGACGAGGCCGCGGAGAGGCGCGGGCGGCGGTTGGCGAGGCCGCGGCGGCTGGCGCGGAGGCGGCGACGAGGCCGCGGAGAGGCGCGGGCGGCGGCGGTTGGCGAAGCCGCGGGAGTGCCGGCGCGGAAGCGGCGACGGGGTCGCGGGAGGGAGCGGCGCGAGCGGCGGCGGCTGGCGAAGCCGCGGCAGTGCAGGCGCGGAGGCGGCGACGAGGCCGCGAGAGGGAGCGGCGCGAGCTGCGGCGCTGGCGAGGCCGCGGCAGTGCAGGCGCGGAAGCGGCGACAAGGCCGCGGGAGGGAGCGGCGCGAGCGGCGGCGGCTGGCGAAGCCGCGGGAGTGCTGGCGCGGAAGTGACGACGGGGTCGCGGGAGGGAGCGGCGCGAGCGGCGGCGGCTGGCGAAGCCGCGGCAGTGCAGGCGCGGAGGCGGCGTCGAGGCCGCGGAAGGGAGCGGCGGCGGCGACGGCGGCCGCAGTGGCGTTGGCGCGGAGGCGGCGTCGAGGCCGCGGGATGGGGCGGGCGGTGGCGGTCGGCGGGACCGCGACAAGGCGAGCGCGGAAGCGGCGGTGGGGCCGCGAGCCGTGATGGCGTGGGAGGCCGTGGGGCTGCGAGGAAGGGAGTGCTTGAGGAGAGGGGGAGGGTGGCGAGATAGCCGCGGAGAAATGAGAGAGGAGGCCGGGGGTTGAGGCGGCCTTTGAAAAAAAACTAGGAGCGTAGGCCTAGGATTTTTAAGAGCTCTATACCATGTGAGAAGAAAAGGTAGAAGAGAAGTTGATGGATTGATTGAAAGGATGGGGGGTTTACATAGGAGATGAGTTGGAAACTAGCCTAGGTGAACATTATTGGACCCCAACCAAGGAGTTGGGTTGGGAGATTATTGGTGGGGTCCAATAATGTTGGCCAAGTTGGAGTTGGGCCAACATTATTGGAGGGGACCAATAATTCTACCCATCCCAACCCTTGGGGTCCAATAATTGGACCAAGGTTGGGTTTCCAACCTACAAATTGGGTAACCCCTGCTTGTACACCCAAACTAAGTTTGGGTGCTTATCTCTAGCCTATCCTATAGCATATATGCAGGTTACAAGAGAGGAGATATTCTAACAATAGGTGCGTGTGGACTTCCAGGAAGCCATCTCTGCGTCCATGGCTGCCTGCCACTGAGAGGAGTAGGGACCCTCTATCGCCTCTGCGTAAGAGCGCGGAGTCGGGATGTCTGGTGCATCCGGGTCTCCCTCAGGGGCAAGTAGCGAGGACACAAGATGAGGTAAAGCAGCAGCAAGACACTGGAACTCCTCCTGCCTGTCCTCAAGGACGTCCGTGCTAAGAGCACACTCACCCCCGACGGACGGAGGACAGACAGACTCAGACTCAGTAACAAGACTGGCAGTGAAGTCTAGACGACAGGCAGCAGCAAAGTCAACAAGCTCAGCGACAAGAGCAGACGCAGCAGCAGACTCAAACGACGGGTCAGTGACAACTGTGGCTAGCAGACGCGTGACAGTAGGGTGCTCAGCACGAAACCGGTCAGACGCAGGGTCCGGAACGTCAGGCAACGAGGACGCATTAGGAGACGGCAGAGGAACAGGCTGCGGAGCAGAGGAAGGACGACGGACTACGAGGTGTGCGCTGGGGACAGCCGGCTGACGCGAGCGAGGAACACGACGACCGGTACGACCAGGACGAGCAGGCGAGACAGGACGCGACGCAGGCTCACGACGCTCAGCAGGACTACCAGTCTGCTCAGTGTAAGGAGAAGGAGCAGGCAGCGGTGAGCCAGGCTGTAACGGAAGACCAGTAGACGACGGGAGAGTAAGAACCTGACGAAGAGCAGAGTCAGACGGCGGCAGAGACGACGGAGACGGTGGAGCGAAGAACAGTCGTGTCGGCGCAGCTGCGCCAGTACCGGCAGCTCCAGCAGCTCCAGTACCTCCAGCAGCTCCAGCACCTCCAGCAGCTCCAGTCCCAGAACCGACACCTCCAGTCCCAGGGTCTCCAACCTCAGTGTCTCCAGCAGCAGCACCCCCAGAACCAGCACCCCAAGCCCCAGCAGCTCCAGTACCCCCAGGACGAGCACCTCCGGAACCAGCGACTCCAATAGTAGAGCCCCGGGCACCAGCAGTGCGACCCTGACGGCGACCGTACTGGTCCTGCAGCTGCTGTGAGGTGAGAGGCACACGTGGACGAAGGCGGC